TCTAAAGGGCGCTGCAGAGGCTGCGGGCAGCTTCGCAACCCAGTGCTCAAACGCTGCGCCCCCGGGGGAGGCCCCATTATCCCCATTTTTACTGTGAATCACTGTTGGGTTTTGTCAAAAGGCTTTTTCAATTTCTTTAGAGATAATCATCATATGATTTTTCTTGTTCCATCTGTAGGCATTATATGGACTGATTTTCAAATATTGCTTTTCGAACTTTGCATTTATGGGGTAAAACCCAGTTGGCCATGAAGTATTATCTTATATATTGTCACATTTAATTTACTTACAGTTTCTTAGAGATATTTGTGTCTGTTGAACAGCAGGATATTGACTGTAGTTTCTTTTTTTTTGCAATGTCTTTGTTTTTTAGTATCAGAGGAAGACTGGTCTTGTAGAATTAGGAAATGTTGTCTCCTCTTCAATTGTTCTAGAAGAGTTTGTGGAGAATTGGTATTATTTCTTCTCTAGAATTTTCATTTTAGAAGCCACACCAGGGAATTATCTGTACCTGCAGTTTTCTTTGTGGGGGTTAACCACACATTTGATTTCTTTAATAGATATACAACTATTGATATTGAGCTTTTTTCTTTCTTTTTGAGTGAGCTTTGGTCATCTGTGTCTTTCAAGGAATGTGTGTTCACCTAAATCATCACATTGGCATGAACTTCCCAGACTGTACTTCTAAAGGTGGAGGTCCCATAGGTCATCACTACAGTGGTAACTCCTTTTCATTCTGATTTTGGTACTTTGTGTTTTCTTTCTTTTTAAACTTTTCCTCATCATCCTGCCTGACAGTTATAAATTGCATCGAAGTTTTCAAAGAACCAGCTTTAAATTCCATTGATTTTCTCTATTGTTTCCTAGTGTATTTTTTCCCTCTTGTTCTTATCTTTATTATTTCTTTTCTTCTGCTTACTTTGGGCTTATGTTGCTCTTCCTTTTCTAGTTTTTTTCAAACAGAGGCTTAGGTCACTTGAGGTCTTTACTCTTTTCTAATATAGTGAGTACTCTGTATTTCCCTGCTTCATCTGCAGCCCACTGGTTTGAAAGTTGTGTTTTCATTTTAGTTCCATTCAAAATACTTTCTGGTTGTTTTCATTTCTTTGTTGACCTATGAGTATGTTAGTTTTCCAATATTTCAAAATTTTCCAGCTATATTTCTGTCATTAATATCTAATTTAATTCCATTGTGGTCAGAAAATAAATCTTGTATGATCTAATGTTTTAGAAATGTTGAGACTTATTTTATAGCCCAATGTATGGTCTACCTTGGTAAATGTTCCATGTTCAGTTGAAAAGAATGTGTATTTGCTATTGTTGAGTGAATGGTCTAGTAATTTAGGTCAAGTTGGTCACAGTGTTGTTCAAGTGTTCTATAACTTTCCTGGTTTTCTACTTGTCCTATAGGTTATTGAGAGAGGGATACAACTGTGGTTTTGCCTATTTATCTTCCCATTCCTATCAGGTTTGCTTCATGTATTCTGAATTACCATGATTAAGTGCATAGACATTTAAGATCATTATTTTCTACTGATGAATTTCTTATTTTTTTACCATTATGAAATGTAGCATATTTGTTTTCTTTCTTTAGTACAAATTAGGATATTTCTTTCTATTTTTCTATGCATTTTTTCCAACATAGAGGAAATGATGTCATATTCACTGGTATTATAGTCGTCTTAATATTTTCACTCTGAAATGTAACTGAGTTTATGTGACACATTGTTTAAAAACAAATACAATAAAAACCCACACACACAAGCATTGCTTAAGAAAGAACATCACCAACACTTTTGAGGATACCTGTGAGCACCCCCCCCACCGCTTCCAAAGTCAACTTTACTTTTATATTAATCATTCCCTATTTTTCTTTAGTCTTCCTACATATGTACATACCTCTAAACAACTTATTGTTGTATTTCCCATTTGGGGCCCTTATATAAAAGAAATTATATTGTATATAGTCTCTGTGACTTGCTTCTTTTGCTCAACAGTAAGTTTTTGAGATTCATCCATTTATATATTTATGTAGGTAGTCGTAATTTATTTTTGAGGACTGCCTATAATTCCGTTCAAAGTATATGAATAGACCATAATTTATCCATTCTTCTACTAAAAGACATTTGTGGTATTTCAACTATTTTGCTGTAACAAATGATGCTGCAGTGAAGAAACTGAAATGAGGTCCTGGAGCACACACATAAGAATTTCTTTAGATTGGCATACCAGAAGCAGGATTGCTTGCCTAGATCAAAATAGCCTGTTTTTCTTCACTTAACTTTGTTTCCAATAATTTTTTAGTGACTCTCTGCTACCAAATAGTTTTTATTAAACCACACCTTTGTTGTTGAACCCCTACAGTTCCTATTGAAATGTAAATACAACTCCAGGAGAAAAACATTTTTCATAGAAATCTCTCTGCCATTTAGATCATTTCCTTCTGAGGGATTCTCAGAAGTGGCTTTTTTGAATCAAGGCCACACATTCAGTGTGTACTCATCACATATCCAGGATGTATATTCTGTGAGAGGACTTTCGTTGCTGAACACATAAGGTAATCTCCATCCAAGTAGTTGTTAATCCTTCTGGGATCATAGATTCTTTGGAGACTCTGATTAAGAGTATAGATCCTTTCTCCAGAAAAAAAAAAAAAAAAAAAAAAACAACAAAACCCACATAAACTGTATTCACAAACAAAGCAGCATGTAATTAATTCCAAGGTTTTCTCAGAACTTTTGAAGTCCATCTGCTAACATCTCTATTAAATATCCTACCCATTGAATATTTCTTATAATGCTTCACCAATGATGTTGTATTTGTTATAACAAACTTTGTATCTGTCAAGCACCTTTAGTTTAAAAGCACCGTTTACTGAAAACTTACAAAGTGACAGCACTATGCCAGTCACTAGAGACAGAATAAATGTTCCCAGCTTCAAGAAAAACAGAATCTATGGGAGAAGACATAAGTTAACAAGTGTTTATAATAAAACATATGCAATATGGCAAGATGGAGATACAACTGATCAATTTTCTTTTATCACAGATAAACATTTTCAAGAACGTGCTAGAGGAAACTTGTACTAACAAAAGGATAAAGTCATTATGTAACCTGGCATATATTAGACACTATCCATGGGTCAGAAGGTGGGGAACCATTGTATAGCCCATAGACAAGGGCTGAGACTCTTCCTTACTAGGAAAAAAATTAAGGGAAACAATATTGACATATAAGACTTAACCAGTTGGTCCGACAACACAAAGGAAACCACAGGAAAGATTTCCTCCCAAGCACTTCCTTTATTACCCAAACCTACTCTTATTAACATACAAAGAAAACATTTTGCCTGTTTTTTTCTGCAACTATCTGAGGTTCAGTGTTTGACATGCAAGGATTAAAACCTACTTGTTATCAATACAAATGAGCCACACATTTTAAACATAACATTGTCTAACAGCTTTCATTGTGTAAGAGGAACTATTAGCCTGCACATAATTACTGCAAGAATTTCTTCATATAATTGTCTTGAAAAACTAATTATAGGTAAAACTATTATTTTTTTAACACTTAGAATGTTGTTTTTCAACCTGTCAGTTACACTCCTAATACTATCATCTCATGAAAATCATTTTGGTGTTTTGAATTTAGCATAACTTTTAAAGTGTACCTAAGAATAATTGCTACTTTGACATTGCTGATTTAATTATAATTGAGCATGTGGAGTTTTTTTTAAACATATGCATCTTACACTCCTATGGAAAATGAATACAAGCAATTTTGATAATGCAATCTAGTAGAATGTTTTCAGTTTCATCAAAAGTATAAATACAATGCTAAAAAAGCAATATTTTGACAGTATTTCCTTTTCATGTAATAAGTTTGAGTTATATATTTACTTTCTCTTGAAATTTTAATTGTTAATTTGATTACTGCCATGTTTATTCTGTATCCTTAAAATTACACCCAACTCATACACCATATAGAACCACATGTATAAATATATATAGTGTGATTATAAAGTAATAAAATTGTATTCTTGTGTAACCAGAAAAGAAAGGGAAAATGGGATTGTAGAGTTTACAAACCAACCAACTGAAGTTAAATAAACCAATTGAAGCTTATGAAATTCTCAGCACAAAGATAGGCCTGACTTATTTTTTCTTCTTTTTCAAAGTAGCCCTTGGATGTCTAGATAGCATTCCCATCAACCACTGTTTAGCTTTGTCAAAATAAAGGATTTTCCAGGGTACCTCAAAATAAGATGTACTTTCATTTGAGGTTATCTAATAAACACACAGATCACGGTTCCCTTCAGAGTTATACAAAAGAAAGGAAATTTGTTACATGTATGAAAAAGGAATCCAAAAGGAGCAAGTTTTTCCTACAGAATTTTCATAGAAATTCCAACAATCTCATAGGGAACAGACAAAAGCACAAATAAGAATACATGTTAATATATATACTTTTTTCTTCAGGGTGTTTTGTTTTTGTTTGTTTGTTTGCTCTAACAGGAGGAATCTTCTTCATGTGGCATCTTGTTTCCTAAAGGGAAAATATAAGTTAAGGGAACTCCTTAAGACAAAAAGTCTGGTCAATAAATGAAGGTTCAGGGCCTGCCTGGTGGCGCAGGCAGTTGAGCATCATGCTGTGAAGCTGTCCGCAGCCTCTGCCACATGGGTTCGATGCCGGCTGGAGAGGGTCCCGCATGGTGTGGCAGACATCTCCTGTCACGCCCGCTGCTTCCCTCAGCAGTGTATTTCATCAGTCTGCCTGTTCTGTTCCCTGCTCTGTCTCTGGTGAATACTCTCACCCTCCCGTGCATGTGGCCTGTACCCCGGTTGTTGTGTAAATGAATAAATAAATCTTTAAAAATAAATAAATGAAGGGTTCAAAGATTTTCATGCAGTGATTTTAAAACAAATGATCCATGACATATAGTAAAAGATCTCCAAGAAATCTTACTACATGAAAAAGTAAAACAGCAAATCTACAATAGGTACAAATTATATACATTTATTTTTTTAATAATTTTAAATAACACTCTTGTATAAATTCTTTCATATATTCAAATCATACACAAATTAGAAATGCATAATGAAGCCTAGGACAGCATATGTATGAGACACGTTTTTAAAATTTGTGTTAGAATTTTAGTGACATAAATACAAGTTTAATGTTTCAGACACAATCCCAAATTGCTTGGGTTGAAATTTTACAAGTTACAGAGTGCTTATGCCTAGGATTAAAACTCAGCTTTCAATCATTTAACTTTTGGAACAAGATCTGAAGCACTGGGCTCACTTTCAGGCCATGTTGCAGTTATTGCATATGCATACAAGTAACAAGGAAGATCCCTAGCTGCCTTTGAACAAGCATCATTTAACCACTGGCATTTCAATAATCCATAACCTTTATTCCACTTGATAGTATATTTGACTTCTTCAGGTGAATCGGTGTGTTCTTCCTGCTTTTCCCCTTGGCATAGTCATTGGCTCAGGGTTAAAGAGAGAACTTGCATTCATTTTTCATTACTCCCCTGCACACACCAAACTCATTTTACCTCCTAAATGCCTTAATATCAAGAAGATCATAACACACCAAAGGATCTTTGTGGGTGAATTCAGAATGCTTTCCTTGTTCTAACAGCTTTTACTGGGTTGCTTTTTTCTTCTCTTAACTTTTTGCCAGAGAATAGTATAAATTCACCCCCCATCCACATATTTCAAAATATAAGAACCAGGGAATGTTCATTATCAGTGGTGTTATATTTACTATATGGCCTACAAAAAAAATTAGGACTAAGGTGAATGATCTAATAACCCAGTCCCAGTTGAGGCTGACAGCATTAAGTACTATTTCTTTATTTCTCTTCCTCCAAAACAGCACAAGAAGGGCTAAATGTCCTGAAGGCACTCAGCTGACCAAAGTGAACTCTGGGTCAGCGAGTGTTGCTTTAACGGTCAATTTTCTTGGGAATACTGGGGCTAGAGAATAGCCATGCAATTTGAGGCTTATCCCCCCAAAAATCTCTCTTCTCTCATTCCATGTCTGTTCTGTTCTCCTCTCTTAAAATTCAGGTACCCCTAAAAGTAACACATTAAGTCCATAGGACCTTAGTATAAACGAGGTTTAGTTTTTATTATCCTTTTTCTCTACAACTGGAGAAATTCCATTAATAAGAGACCTCTGGGAGCTAAAGGGTGGAGGGAAGGAAGGAGGGGCAAGTAAAGGAGGACAACATATCTAGCTACACTACTTAGGTTGTCAGAAATGCACAAGGGCTCACTGAAATGAATTAATGAAAATAAAAGTATCATTAAATAGCAGTACCTGTTATTTATCAATAAGATTCACACTAATCTTACCTTATTTGAAAATAAACACATTTCTAGTCTTTAGACCAAAAAAATTCTTCCAGTAGCAGGTCTGCTAAAGGATTGATGGGATCCTGTGCTGAATGCCATGGTTCATGGGGGATCATGCCTTTAGAGGAATGAATGCTATGTAACGCATTCCATACTGGTTTCCTAGTTTGATTTTGGTGGTAAACCACTTCATGATTGATTGATATTTTAGAGCAAAATTATTTCCACCTGTAAAAAGCAGAGGACACTAAAGAATATTATTTAAAACAAAATTTAAGGCCTTAACTTTTTTCCCCACTGGGAAAAATTAAGAATATGACCTGGGAGCTGTTAGGTGTTTAAAGGTAAACAGGTTTTGTAAGTCAATCTCTGCAGTACCTTTTAAGGTCTGTGTCAGAAAATCCCTACGTGGCCAGAATCCAGACTACTGGCGTGGCTCTTAGACCCTAACAGCACTCCTATTTCTCTACTGGTTTAACTGCTATTGAACCAACGTTTATTTTTCACCATCCTCAGTGCCTGACTTTGAGAGCGTAGAGTTCTAGGAGAGGGTCTGCCACTTCCCACAATTCATTGGAAGCGCAGTGCACCATCTGTATACACATATGTGGCAGCCGCTGGGGAAAGCAGGAATCCCCTCCCAACTTGTAAGGATTAATTCACTCTAATGAAACTGGTAGCTTTGTTTTCTTATCACCAATACTGGCTTCAGATAGTAATCCTCCTGTGTTCATTCCACAAAGCCCTTCAAGCTGTGTGGCCCTGGATTGCACCTTGTATTTACAAAAAATAGAAACATTCACAGATGGGACTCTCTCTTCTAGCCTCCTGTATCCATGACTTGGAAATTTCTACATCAGCAGAATTGAAAGAATGTGAGCTTCAGGGTTAGGAGTCCTGATGTCAAGCCTAATGACATATTGCATTGCCTTGAACAAGACATTTAACCTCCCCTACAAAATGGATAATTACTTCCTCAGGGGGCTATGGTGAGGAACAAGGGATGTACATATGGCAAGGCGCTTTACAAACTGCAGTTACTGATTTTAATGTCATGTAATACAGAGTAATCTCTACTCTCACAAGCAATGGCGAAGAATATGGATTCCCTCGGGTTACCAGAAAGAGATTATATGTCTGTACATCCTCCAGAACATCATCTCCAAACCCCAAGAATGACATAGGGGTCTCCTATAGAGGGAACACCAAATTCCAGATCTTTCTCTGAAGAAGTCAGACAGAGTTGTCAACTTGGATTTCTTAGGTCTACTGTACTAAGTCTTTGCTTTTGTCCTAACCACTTGATAGTTTGCTGTTCTTCCTAGTAAATATCTATATTTGACTTCTGGCTACTTTTTCTGACTTACTTCATCCACTACGTGTCACTATCATAAGAGATGAGGGCAATGATAGATGGACTCTAGGGAAAAACTACATCTAAAAGTAAGGACTAACCACACCCACGCAACTACCCCTCTAATGGGACAAGAAGAGAGGAGGACTGCAGCACTGCAGGTGGCGGCACGTGCCCCGTGACGCGAGTGAGAGGCTAGCAGATGTTGGAGATATTCTGGTGGGCAAGAATAAAAGTATTTCACAGGACAGGCACAAAAATGGGGAATCCCAAGTGATATGATGGCTTTTCTTTTGGAACTAAAATACTTCTAATTCCTTTGGAAGACTATCTTTTAAATTAAAAAAAAAAAAAAACCTCTTCCTTTGATAAAGGTATGCTCTACATCACTATGTAAAATGTATAGAGTGGCTAATGTTTATAGGTGAGTAGTTTGGAGAGTACAGCCTGTGTCCCAGCTTGACTATGACCGATTAAAAATCTATTGCTTGAGTCTAGAGTAAGTCAAAGTACATATTACTCTACTTTTAGATTGAGAAAGGGAAGGAAAGATTAGAAACATTCAATATTTTATAAATTTCAACAATGTCCAAATAGGAACTAAAAATGACTGATGCTCACCAGAGTCCCAGCTCTAGCAATATTGCCTCTATTTTACAGTATTTTAACCAATTCCCATATTTTCTTTTTACACCATTAGCTGCTGTACAAATAAATTCTAGAGGATAAAATATGACATGATTTTTTTTTACAAATAGATACAAATGCAATGTTGACCAGATATGCTACATTAACTATATACACCTTATTTCTCTAAAGGCAGGAACAGTCCTTATTTTTAGACAACTTATCATTTTACACTGAGATCCTAAGGAGGACCATCAGCTTCCTGCTCTCAGACACTGCCTTCCTCTCTCTGTCATTAGAAGCTTATCCTGTGCTTTAATCCTACCATTCAGCAAAAATTCTAGAAGTGAAAATCAAGTCCTGCAGATCTTCTTGGATCTCTTCTGTCCCTATTGTAAAAACAATCAAGATTGTTCACTGCAATACAGAGCAGACATCAGCTTTTCCTCAATGATGTCCTCTGGACAATACAATGAGTATCATCCCCTACCCCCCTTAAAAACAAATGTTTCAGGAATGGAGAGGAAGTCTTCTGGGAGTCTCTTGCCCTCCACATCTATCATCCTGTTTCCTCTGGTTCGGTGAACACTTCCCCAGGAATCTGTTTGGAGGTGGATTTGGGCTGCACTACAGAGCTCAGCCTTTCTATACTCCCACGTGGTTTGGTACAAAAATATACTTTTCTTCAAGTCCTCACTGACAGTGAATGCTTCAGCTCTTCATTGGAAAACTAAGAGCAACAGGCCAAGTACATTACAAATTTACACCTGAAAATTTTGGATGTGCTACAGGCCTTTGCTTTCTCAGCAACCTCTATCCAGGCTTTGTTTGGCCAGGAGCTGATGCTGCCTTAGCCAGCACTCAGTCTGACAGGCCAGGAGTGAAGTTCTGGCTTCTTAGGCTTTGTAGTTATGTATGGGCGTCGTCAGGGTCAGCTGCCCATTGGGAGCCACCTCATTGCCATCATCTTCCAACAACCCTGACACATCTGCATTGGGAATGCTGTCATGGTAGCTGCTGAAGCTGATATTGTCTTCTTTCAGCTCGATGGTCCAAAAGGGGGCATTGAGCTTGCGGTTTTGGTACTCCCGGTACATGTAGACGGCCCCCACAAATCCCATCAGCAGCACCACCACAATGATGATGACTGTCAAAATGATGATGTTAAATTGGGTCCATGATACATCAGCTAGAGCTGATGTGCTGTTTTCAGAAGAGCTTACTGGAAAGATAGTCTGCAGGGTTGTGGGGATAAATGTACTATTTATAACAGGGGTGGGCACTGATGTGGTCAAAGAGGCATTGGAAACCAAAATGGTAGAACCTTCAGGTGTTGGAACAATAACTTCTGAAAATAAAAACAGAGAATGAAATGTAAAAGACAAAATTATCTAGTTTTAAGAAACAATAAAAGAAATACACATGGGAGTGGAAGTTGATATGGGATGTTGACATGACCTTCTGCTCTAAGGTAATATGAGTTAAAAATAACTGCAAAGAGATATAGTGAAAAGAATCAGGTCTAGAAAGGTGGGCTGTTACATTCATGACTCTTCTCCAAAATGTAGAATAGCTATATTAAAATCTTTGGGAAAATTCTAATATTGGAAATTCTAATATCGATCCTTCTTTACTCTTGAATAGATTCATACAAAGTCCCACAAAGACAGTAAAAATGTCACTACTGAGTTCTAAATCACTTGGTTAAAAGTGACAGGGATAAATGACAATCATTTGAAGTAAAATAAGTTCAACAATCTGACGGCATTTCATAAAGGTAAAATTCTCTTCAAGGAAACAAAGTTAAAATAGAAAAATTGTATTTTCAGTTACTTCTGAAAAACACAATGTAAATGTTCAAAACTGATGTCAACTAAAAGAAAACAGCTTTCTTTTAATTGTTGTGAATCTTCATTTGTGTAGATTGTAGCAATTTCATAATTAAAGTATTAGACCTTGTACTTCTAATACAGCATAGATACGTGGAAATATCTAAGACTTTGGAAGCAAAAAGAACTGTGTGGCTAGAAACTGGAAAGCCAATCTTCTGAAACCTGAGGCTCCTTATCTATAAAATGGGAATATATACTTTTCAAAGTTCTTGGGAAAGATTGAATGAGATAATGTACTGTGCACTATCACTTTTAACGTCTACAGTGCTTGGTACATTGTAGACACTCAATGAAATTATTACTATTATTACTATTACCACAGTTAGCCATATCAATCTATCCTAAAAGGAGACATGCTTTACATTACCTAATAAGTAATATGAAAAAATCATCACAGTCCTGTATGCCTCTAATTGGGAAAGAGAATTGAGTGACAGGATCTCCAGGCTAGAAACAGGGTTCAATCTGTTTATTTAAGCCTTGATCACAAAAGAATAAGGATATCAAGAAAATGACAAAAGGAGGCAAACCTGTCACAGATCAACTTTCCATCAACCCAGTATTCAACATTCTTTAGATTATCAAAAAGTAGTTTCCAGAAGGGCAGAGTCTAACCTGTCTGACCTAAGAAAGCCTGAATATCCCTAACTTATCCTGAGTATCTAATCATTCAGTTTTACCTAAACTCTTATAGTACTCACTGAACTTCTCTGAAAGAAATATTTTGCCATAGGACTAACATTATCTCTTAAAAATCAAAAGGATTATTATTACTTTTTCCTTTGTTACACATGGGAAAAACTTAGGCTCAAAGTTAGGATTAGATACTAGAGTGATCTCTTCTGATTCTCAGCTAGAACTTCTAATCTGAAAAAGGCCTTTGATGATTACTGGAAGCAATGAGAATACAGGAAGTAAAGAATAAAAGAAATGATAGGACTTTTAAATTATTAACAGAAAAATAAAAATAGATGAAGAGAAAATGTAAGAACAATGACTTTGTCTTGGTCCTCATTGACTTTGGAGCATCAGGAGAGCAGCGGGAATGGAAGGAAATTTCTTTAGGCAAATATCTATCAAAATCTATTTCCAGAAAACTCCTCTGGTGGGCTTGGAGGGTTTTACAAAGGTAAAGGTAGCTGTCCTGAAATTTTCATTGCTAGGTTTAGAAATTAAACTTATAACCTTAGGTGAAGCTTTACCTTTCTTGATGCAATTTCCCTCGAGGTCTCGAACATAACCTTCTAGGCAGTTCTCACACCAAAATCCAGTGGTGTTATGGAGACAGTTGATGCATTCACCACTCTCAGGCTTACAGATTTTTGGAGTTTTAATGCGGTCCACGTGGCCATGGCATTGGCACTTTATACAAATGCTGTCAGAATTGTAATAGCCATTTTCACATTTATTGCAGTTCTGGCCTGTGTAGCCATCTTTACACTGGACACATTTAGGTTCTAATTCACCCAATTCTGAAAGAGAGAGAACAGCACAATAAATTAGTATATTCTCAAGCTACAATAAAAAATGCAAAACAACTACTACCCTTCAAGAAGTTCATTAAATTCTCCCTACTATTGCCGCTCAAACTTAAGAGACATGGAATCAAACTAATAATCTACATCTTATTTACTAATTGTCCAGTTTATATTGAGAATGATGAACCCTTTGAAATAACCTATTCTTGTAGTGAATGAAAGAAATATGCTGACACAAGAAATCTGACTAATGGTGAGGGAAAGCCACTCATTTTAAAAATCTTTTCCTCATTATGATAGATTAAAATATACATGGCTTTAACAGAAATTTCCTCCATCCCTCCCACTTATGTTGATCTTAACTTCCTATTTACAATCCAAATTACTAGTGTGATCTCAACTAAGTAACTAAACTCTCAGCCTCAGTTTTCCATGTTTAAAGTGAAGGAGAGATAAAAGATGATAAAAGATAAAAGATGACAGTGAATGAATCAGAAAGTCAGGCAAACAATGGTATGCAAAAAAAGTACTAACAAAAAGGTGTGTTTCTTATTCTCAAAAACTCTCACTCTACAATTTACAGCATTGTGTTTCAACACACTATAGCAACAAAAACTAATGTGAAAAATGACTAGTGAAAATAGACTGAGGATTAAAATCAGGAGTTGTGAAAATCTTCATGTGAGGCCACAGACCTCAACGTCAAGACATGACATTCAAAGGTCCCGCCTCATATTTTACATATCTCTTATACTTTATTTTGACATTCTTACTAGATGCAAACCAGCTACTTTAACATTCCTGGACTTTTATTCATTTTGGTTTCTTTATCTGAAATAGCCTTCGTTTGCTTGATCAACTTCTCAATGATAATCTTCATCACAAGACTCAGTTGATGCTACCTTCTCTCCTAAGTTTTTGTTGATATCCCCCCATTCCAAATAGCATAACTCTCCCTTCTTTGTGCATTCACTTAGATCTATAATACTGTGTTGTGTGTATCTGTGTGTTGGTCTCTCCATTAGAAACTGTGAGCTCCAAGAACATCAAACTAAGTCAGCTGGGCACTTCCCATTCCCAGCCTGCAGTGCCAGTTCAGTACAAGCTCCCGAACTGGTTAGGACCCTGTTTAGTCTTCGACTATGGTGTCCCGTTCATCTCTACGTGGATCCATTACTGGTTGTCCAAATCTGCACTTGTCACAGCTCAGTTCAGTTATCACCTTATCTGTTAAGACTTTCCTATGCCTCCCAGTAGCACAGTTTCTTTGCTTCTCCAAACTCTCATGACTCCAATCACTCTACCCTGAGTTAGGCTATCTTCCTTTTTACAACACGAGTTCCTTTTTACAACATGGTTACTTCCCTTTTAATAGTTCAGAGCACCTAGACTAAAGCTTTGCATCTAGTAAATGGTTAGTGTGTTTATAAGATGTGTCTAAATGCCTGTTTAAAAGCCAACTGAATCAAAACAACAATGAAATATCACCTGTCAGAATGGCTGTCCTCCAAAGACAAGAAACAAGTGTTAGAGAGGATGTGGAGAAGAGACTTGTGTCTAGAATATATAAAGAACTCTTTCAACTCAATGATAAAAACACAAATTACCCAATTCAAAAATGGGCAGAGGATCTGAAAAGACATTTATTTTTTTTTTAATATTAAATTTTATTTTTATATTCCCCCATACAATTGCAAACGCCCCATTCTGACCCCAATCCTTCCCCTCCCGCCCCCCAACCCCCAAAAAGTGTCTCTGGTTCATAGTTTTTTGTTGATTTTGATTTTCACTTTCTTATATTCATTTTCCTGGTCCCTTATTTAAGTTTTCTAGATTCCTGCTATGAGTGAGACCATCCGGTATTTTTCTTTTTCTTTTTGGCTTATTTCGCTGAGCATGATCCCTTCCAGCGCCATCCATGTTGCTGCAAATTGCATGTGTTTATCTTTTTTGAATGCTGAGTAATATTCCATGGTATATATGTACCACATCTTCTTGATCCAGTCATCTATTTTTGGGCATTTGGGTTGTTTCCAAAGCTTAGCTATTGTAAACAGTGCTGCTATAAACATAGGGGTGCAGGTGCTCTTTGGAATTGATGTAAAAAGACATTTCTTTAAAGAATATATGTAAGTGGCCAATAAACACATAATTAGGCATCAGGGAGATGCAAATTAAAACCACAGTGTCATACCACTTCACATCCATTAGGATGGCTATAATATTAAAAGATAATAATAATAATAATAATAATAATTGGTGCGGATGTGAGAATTTGGAACCCTCAAACAATGTCAGTGAGAATAAAATGGCATACTTACTTTGGAAAACAGTCTGATAATTCTTCAAAGGTTAAATAAAGTCACTATATGACCCAGCAATTCTACTCCTAAGTTTATACCCAAGATAAATGAAAACCTATGTCCATACAAAAACATGAACACAGATGTTCACAGCAGCATTATTCACAATGACCAAAAAGTAGAAACGACCTAAATATCCATCAACAGATGGATAAATAAAATTTGGTACATCCATAAAATGGAAAGATATTTGACAGTTAAAATGAATAAAATATTTTTAAGTGTTACAATATGGATGAGCCTTGAAAAATATTATGCTCAGGAAGAGAAGCCAGATATCTACAAAAGGTCACATATTGTATGACTTCATTTATATAAATGTTCAGAATAAGTCAGTCCATAGAAAGGAAAAAGTAGGTTAGAGGAAAAAGGAGTGGCTGCTAATTGATTCAGGGTTGGTGTGTCTGTTTTGGGTAGGGGGTGTAATGAGATGTTTGTGATGATGGTTACACATCACAAATATACTAAAGGCCACTGAACTGTATACCTGAAATAAGTAAATTGTATGACATTTTAATAATAACTCAATAAAGTCAAAAACTTTGTATCTTTAAAATTAGACCTCACAAAAGGAAGGAAAGAAGGAATCTAAAACAGAACCACCCAGCTACACATCTTGCAAATTCTGAACTGAAACTATGTGAGATAAAAAATGTTTTAGTGTTTCAAACTACTAAATTTTATGGTAATTGGTTATGCAGTAATAGATCATTAATATATCAGGAAGAAATGAGAGTTAGTTGTATTTGTAAGATTACTGCATAGATACAATTAGTCACGATTCTTAAGTAACTAGAAAGAACAAATTAGTGACTAATTAGCGATGTTACTTTGAAATAGGTGAGCAATTTATGTCCAAATTGAAAGTTTCTCATTTCCTTAGTTTTGAAGTGTTTTTATGAATTCATTATATTGCTTTTCAGACATTTTAAATCTCATGTCACATATGTATTTGAAATTTATGGCAAATTTCTAAAAGGAAAAACTTTGCTGCTTTTTTTTTTTTTTTTAAAGATTTATTTATTTATTTATTCAAGCACTGGGTGCCGTCAGAAGTGCGGGAGGGTGAGAGAATTCACCAGAGCCAGAGTGGAGAACAGAACAGGCAGACCGACAAGGTACACTGCTGAGGGGAGGAGTGGGCACTGTAGGAGAGGTCTGCGCGCCTTGTGGGACCCTCGCCCATGACCAGGGATCAAATCGGTACTGCAGAGGCTGCGGGCAGCTTCGCAGCCCAGCGCTCAACTGCTGCGCCACCAGGGGAGGCTCAACTTTGCTGTTTTTATAACTTCCTTACACCTATAAGATCCAGAACTTTGTTTATTAACACAATTTCTACCTATCAGTAACTCCTTGACTGATTTTCCCCTCTCAAACACAGACAAATTCCTTACTCATGATACAGCTGCCTGTAGATGTCACTGCTGAGCAAGGGCAGCGAAGACATTCTTTCTTGGTGTCAGAACTCTGATAAAATCCTTCTTTGCATTCTTCACAATGATCTCCTTTGCTATTTTCTTGGCAATTTAAGCAAGCACCTAGAAAAAGCAATTTTTGTTTTAATTTAGAGATTTTTACTTCAAAAAAGTCATGCCAGTAATTAAAAGCCCTTGAGCGTTAACCAGAAAATATTATCCAGCAGCAATTCGACAGAATTCATTTTCACCCCGCCTTCTTTCCTCTCTGGCCATGTCTGTGAGTTCTGTGTTCCTTACTAGATTGTAAACTCTTTAGGGAAAGACTGAGTACATGAGGAGAGTCATTAAGAAGCCCTAGTTGTTTGATTGGGTAAGCACTTAAAGCAGGCCAATATTTGTAAAAAAAATAAAATAAAAACAATCTTAAGATTTGTTTAAACAAGGATACACTATTTTCACAGTTGGGATACCACAGTTAAATAAATGAAATAGACGTAAATCTAAAAGGTGCTTATTGACAAAAGCAAACTTCAGAATGATACATACAGAAGGAAAATACTTATTTGTAAAACTTTGCAAAACACATTAAACAATACTGAGCAAATGGATACATAATATAAACAAATACAAACACTAAATACATACATCTGCAGCAAATTTTAAATGTGAGCTGAGGCAAAAGGAGAGAAAGTGAGGCTGTGGAATAAAATGGTTTGACATTTGCAGCAAAATTTGGAAAATTCAAATGAATGAAAATGTTATTAACATATTAACATTAATAATGTCAAGTCTCAATTCTTAATTACAACAGAATATCCACAAACTTTATGAACTTATTATGAAAGATACCTTCAAAAGTTATCTGAACATTTAAATTAAATCAAACTTGCATGTATCATCACTTTTAATCCTATAATTTTTAAAGGCCTAACAGTATTAGTGATGCTTTTCACTTATATAATAAGATACGGTGTTCTCATCCAGTGATACTTAAGTACTGATTTCTTTCCAGATTTTATATCTTGATCCCTTGAGAGCTGTATAGCTATGTGACAATAAAAGCAACTGAAAAATACATAGTAGGATTTTGGCTCCAAAAATAATCTTAAATGTCAAAGTGCTCTGCAGGTTGAAAAAGTCAAAACCTACAGTATGTATAAAATATATCCCGTCACTCTCTCCCCAGTAAAAATGTCCAGTGGAAATAATTTTTAAGAAAATAGTTCTAAGTTCTAAACTTAAATGTAAAATAGTCCTCAAAAAAATTAATAGCACTATAACAGAATATGGGTGCATGGGGCAAGATGTGTTCCAATGATACACCATTTGCATGTGATTAATGTGCAAGAAAATGCCATGTTGCTGCTTTTATTAAAATATGGCAAATATATATAGAAGGAATATAGGGGAACTAAATAAGGGATCAGGAGAAAAAAATAACAATAATAATAATTTTTAAAAATCTAGCAGGCAACCATAAATAAGAGACGTTCTGCAAGGGAGGGAGAGGAAAAGGGATCAAAATAGGAGAGAAGAGCACAAGGGACTATGGAGAAGCTCACGGGCAAACTGGTGGTGGTAATTTTATGGGGAATACACAATGATGTAAAAGATATAAATAAAAAATAAATTTAAAAAATGGCAAATATAAATATTTCTAAAACTTCATTCCTACAATATTACTGGGCTTTCACAATTATTGATAATTATTTGGGAGCACCCTGAGGTACTCCAGCAAAGGAAGTTCTATAGAGCTGATCAAAGAGGAACAGAAAACTGGGGAAATGTGATAACCTAAACTCTCTCTACAGGACAGAGGCAAACTTTAACCTGTCAAACAGAAAGAAGACAAAGCTTAAGTGGACAAGGGAGACAGCAAGAGGTAAGGTCAGAGAGAAGGGCAGGAGCCAAAAATTGTAAAGCCATGTAGGCACAGAGACAGGCTTGACTTTTGTTCTAAGAGGGATGGGAAGTCACTAGAGGATTTAAGCACGGGAGTGACATGGCTTACACTGTTCAAGTATCATTCTGGTTGTTATGTGGAGACTGGGCTGTGTCAAGGCTGTAGGGGTCAGGGGTTAGAGGGCAAGAGGGGCGGCAGAAGGATCAGATGAGAGAGGGTCAAAGTAGTTCAGAGAGATGACAGTGGTGTACACAAGGATGATAGTAGTGGAAGTTATGGACATTGGTCAGATTCAGGATGTGTTTTGAAAATTGGGCTGACAGAACTTCTGACAGATTGGGTATCAGAAAAGAAAAGAAACTAATATGTCTCATAGGCTTTTGGACTGAGCAACTGGGTGAATGGTGTCAGTCAAAAGGAAGAACACTAGCTAGGAGTCAACACGCAGGGCTGGTGAGAGTTGCTTTGAATGTGTCACGGATGTGATGCCACTTAAATCATTTAAGTGAAGATGGCAAGTGGACTATGGGTCTTTGAGTGTGAAGATCAACAGAAAGATGTAAATCTGGAAATCAGCATGTGTGCTGATGGCATTTAACTTAAATCAAGGGGACTGGAGACCACTCAGGGAAAGGAAAAATGAAGAAGGCAAACATATCAAGGACAAAGCACTGAGGTATTCCAGTACTTAGAGTTGAGCAAAGGAAGTTCTATAGAGCTGATTGAAGAGGAACAGAAAATTGGAGAAATGTGATATCCTAAACTGTGGTGGTGGGGGGGGGTGGATGATGAAGTAACAGTCAGCTCAGCCAAGCTGCTTCTGAAGTCAAGTACTCACCATGGGACACTGAATACATGAAAGCACATTAATGTTTTAAAGTACACAGTGTGAACACAAAGTTCTACTTAAAAAATAATAGCCCCCCCCATTTTAAGGGGAAAATGCATTCATTAGTAAATAAAATCTAGAAAAATACAGGAAAAAATATCACCCTAAGAATTCTGTCATTAAGAGTTTCAATGCTTCTAGAAATCTTTCCTTATATAGAGAGGTTTGGATTTTGTTTTTTAAATAATCTAAACATATGGTACATGTAATTTTCTACCCTGCTGCTTTTATTCTCTCATGCTATTATGTATAATTCTTTAAAACATTTTAATGACAACACAATAATAATTGTCATTTATTGATCGTTTATAATGAGCCAGGCATTGTTTAAGGGCAAAGTTTAAGGGCAAAAAAAAATTTATAAATATATTGCATTGAATCTTCACAACCACTCATTTGGCACTTATTGTTGTTACCCCAGATTTCTGGGTGAGAAAACAGGTCAAGTAAATGTGCAAGGTAAAGTCAAGATTTCACTGGTTTCATTCCCTGTTAGAAATAGGGCAGTTTACTTCCTTAGGATTCTAACTACCACGTTCGTGAGCAGCCTTGAACAGCTTTTTCTGAACTAGGAATTATTCCCTCATAGTAGAGTCTTGGAAACAGAATTACTAGGTCAAGAACATATTTTTAAGACTTCTGATACACATTGTCAAATTGTTTTCCAAAACATTTTTCCCAATTTATTTGATCACAGAAAGGTTGCTTTAAAAAACTACTTCAGGGCCTCCCTGGTGGCCTAAGGCACTTCGTCTCAATGTTATATCACCGCTACTGACTGAGTTCAATGCTTGGCCAGGGAGCTGACCCACATAGGGCACAGCAGACCTTTCCTGCCTTGCCCACTATGCCCCTTAATTAGCAGTGTAGTTCAGTAAATCTGCCTGTTGTGCTTCCCCCCTCTGTCTCTTGTGAATCCTTTTACCTTCCCCCATTACCTCTGGCCTACACCCCAGGTCTTCTATGCTAAAAAATTAAATAAATCACATCATTTATAAAAAGGAATATTAAAAAAAATCTATTTCAACCTAAAACACAAAGTACAGTAAAGACTACGGTGGATAAGGGCTGTGAAACAGGATTATGAAAACAGAGTAAGTGGCCACCAGAGGGCAACCGTATCATGGTACTGTTTTAAAACATCTTTGAGACAAAAGGAGAGACTGATTTTATATTAAGCTTGCAGTTTTAAATTAAGTATTTACACTCCATATTGGATTCTGCTTTTATTATAGTTCCAGAAGAACTTTTTATTTCCCTTATTACTAGCTGTTTTTAGAAATTGTAACCGCGAAAAGCATTTCTTTTGCCTTAATTTATCTTCAGAGCAAAGATAGGCTGGGATTTACGGGACATTAAAAAAAAGCCACCTCACTGCTGCAAGGACAATTAGAAGTGAGAACCAGCAATGCAGACAGTTTTTCTGGCACTGCAAAAGACCTAGGGAGCAATTTAAATTAACTATGATGAAGCATTCCTGTCAGCACGCGGGACTGAAATTCATCTTTCCTTTGTATGTTTTTCCATTCATTTGTTCATCTACTGAACAAACATTTAGTGAGTAGTTATTATTATGTGTCTAGCCCCATTTTAGAGATTGTGGACAATGGTGAACAAAACTGATACTGCTCTTTCCCTCATGGAATTTACGAAGTTATGAATAAGCTGTCTGTGACTCATATTCATAAACATGTATAATTACAAACTGCAATAAGGGCTATGAAAAAAACACCAGTGTATGTGAGAGCGCATAATTGGGAATCATTTATCCTGGAGCATCAGCAACTACATTCTAATGAAGTAACCTTTAATTAAAGGCCTAAAAGAAGAATATGATTTAATAAGGCAAAGGGGCCAGGGGTAAGGGCAGAGGTGTATCTGAAAGACCATCTTAGGCAGAGGAGAGATCATGTATGAGAATAAGGGGACAAGGGGACACAGCTTATTTTAGCAATAGAAACCAGTATCACTGGATCACAGATAGTAAAGGGAGAGCACAAGATGGAACTGGCAAGTAAGGACTAGATCACATCATAGAAAATACACACAATTTCTTTTAAATCAGTTTGTTTCACCATAGAGATAAAGGACTAGAATGCAGAATAACTTTCAGCATAGCTTTTTCCAGCATAATTTCAATTTCAAATATTCTGCTACTCTACTCTCATAAAACAAACAAATCAAAACCACCTTGCACTTGTCAGACTAGTGGGTCCTGGTTTTGTTTTCTTTGTGTGTGGGGGGGGGTGGGTAGAAAAAGAGATTTCCAAGAAAGTATCTCTAAATCTTACATGCAGGAAAACTGAAGATCAGAAAAGCTAACTGTCTTTAGGGTTTTTTTTTTTTTTTTTTTTGTTTTTTTTGTGGGACCCTCGCCGGGGCCGGGAAACAAACTGGCGCTGCAGAGGCTGTGGGCAGCCCCGCAGCCCAGCACTCAACCGCTGCACCACCAGGGGAGGTCCTAACTGTCTTTAGTTTTTAACAGTTTGGAAGTAGTTTTCTCTATTTTTATAATACCTGGGGTCTGCTGATCTTTATGGAGCTGTGAATTGATACTTTTCATCAGTTTGGAAAAAGCTTGGTCATTATCATTTCAAATAATGCTTTTGCCACATCTCTCTCCTTTAGGGTCACCAAGTACATTTATGTTAGACCTTTTGGGTGGTTGTACCCCATGTCTTACCTGTTCTGTTCTTTCCATTGCATTTATTTCTCTGTGCTTCCATCTGGATATTCTTCCCCCTCTAAATTTATTTATTTATTTTCTTACATTGTTTTTTATTTTTGTATGGAAATTGATCTCTCCTCTCAGGAGTAGTCCCTTTAGTTCTCCCAACACCATATCAGCCATGAACCATTACCACAGTCCCTTGTGTGCTTCCTTCCCCTGTGTTGACTCCCTTCCCTCCCCTCCCCTGCTGTATGCCTCAGATCTATGGTCAGCTTGCAAGTGTCATCTTTTTCTTTGCCCTTTCTTGCCCTTTCACATATAAGTGAAACCATCCAATATTTATCTTTTTCCTTCTGACTTATTTCATGTAGTATAATCCCTTCCAGCTCCATTCATGTTTTTGACCAAGTAGTAGTCCATTGTGTATATATACCACATCTTGATCTATAGTTTGGAGCATTTTTAATTGCACTTATTTCAAATCTACTAATCTTATCCACAGTATGTACACTTTGCTGTTAAACCCATGTCATGAGTGTTAATTCTAAACTAGTTAACTATATAATAATTCATCAGTTCATCAGATGTTATATTCTTCAATTCTTGATTGTCATACTGATATTTTTCATGATTTCAGTTCTCTTTAAATGTTGTCTGTTCACTTATTTTGTCTGTTTTTTTCCAAATATCAATTCTAGTTATTTTGAAAGCATTGTATGCTAACTCTAACATCTGGATCACCTGTGGGTTTGCTTCCATTGTTTGTTTTTTTTTGTATTATTGGTCATATTTTTCTACCTCAATATTGCCTAGTATTTTTGATTGCATACCACAAACAGTGTATAAAACAACACATATGACTCCCCACTTCCTCTGTAATGAGATGACCTTAATCCAATCAGAAATTGAAATGATTTGAGGATGGGCTATAATTTTAGTATGAGCCAATTTACCTAATGGGAATCACTATTTTTTCATCTTGGCCTTCAGGCCTCGTCCCTGAAAGAATTGAACAGATTCACATTGTCCTTTGGTGGTCATAGGAGCCCTTCAGAATCTGACAACGTTTTGAGACAAAGATAGCGATATGTTGTAGTAGGCCCTCTCTTTCTATAGAGGTTTTGTCTTCTAACAAAAATGAGAGATTTCTTTCAAACTTTTTGATCAGCTTTCCATCTCCTGTACGGACAGATAATGTCCTTGTATTTCGGTTCCTCCAGATTCTAATGCATTGTGCGAGCCCCAAATTACTGTTACAGATCTTCTTGTATCCTTTTGCACAAGAAGAATCCATTTGCTTCAGCCAAGACTGCTCTTTAACCTGTGCACAGAATCAGCAAATGCCCCCAGGAAATAAAAGGGTGGGTATCATCAGCTTACTTAGATAGTGCTACCCTTCCTGGAATTTCAGCTCATATACTTTTTTTTTTTTTTTTTTTTCTTCCATAGCTCACCAGCCAGCCAATATGGTTTTTTTTTTTTTTTTATAGAGGCATGTTTTATTTATTTATTTATTTGTTTGTTTGTTCGTTCGTTTTTGTTTATACATGCACTGGGTACAGTCAGAAGCGCGGGAGGGTGAGAGAATTCACCAGAGCCAGAGCAGGGAGCAGAGCAGGCAGAAGGACCGAAGTACACTGCTGAGGGGAGCAGCGGGCGGCAGGAGAGGTCTGCGCGCCATGTGGGACCCTCCTCCGGTGGCCGGGGAGCAGCCGGGGATCGAACCGGCGCCGCAGAGGTCGCCGGCAGCTCTGCAACCCAGCGCCCAACCGCTGCGCCACCGGGGAGGCCCCAATATGGTTTTTTTTAAATGTATATTTTTTCAAGTTGCTTGTGGCAGGAGTTTGCTCTGACCTATTACATCAAACTCAGAAGAGAAAGACCTTTATGAACTATTTAGGGAAAATCAACCCATAGATAAAGGATGTCAAAATGAGAAAAATGGATTAATCACATATAAAGATAAGGAAAGTGTGTACCTGTGAGGGCATCACAACTGGCAGATCGATTATTGCATTGGCAGGGCAAGCAACCACTCTTACTAAAATCATAATATCCATCTTGGCAACGATCACACGTAGAGCCAATGACACCCACTTTGCACTGGCATTTCCCAGAACTGCAATGAAAGCAAAAACTAATGAATAAAAGAAAATTAGGTTAAAAATTTTGTTGCCTAATACCCCATCTTAAGTTATCCTAATGTATTGATAGAAATTTTTTCAACCGAATTCCAGTTACGAGAAGTACTGAGTGATTTTTATTTTGATTTGGAAGTTGAACATCTTCACAACTACATAAATTCAATTAATATGGTATTAATACTAATTATTTGTGACATTTTAACCCTCTGCACTGGGTAGTTCAAAATAAATTATGAGGGATTCATGGAGAACATAAATCCCTTGTGCTTAGAAATCTTTGCTTACTAAATGCTGGGGCAGAGAACTGTACCACTGCTACATCTCACTACTCGATCAGTTCACAGTTCCATCAGCATCCATCCTGCCCAGGATGGAGAAGAGAAGAAATACCATCTAGCTTTCACACAACCTAGTTTCTGGCTCAAGAATATGAAGACCAAGATTTTAATAAGTGCATCTACTAATATTCATTTAGATGTTGGAAATTTTAATACAGTTTTTTACTTTAGGGTCAGATTGTATTAATTGATCATATTTCTGGGAAACTGGAATTCATAATTAAGTGAATGTCACTATAATGGCGACTTCTATTGCTTTCTAGAGACATTTTTTTGGTAAGACTACAAATCAAAAATAAGAAAAATATTTTATTTAGTATCCTACCTCTTCCTATTAATCTATTTTCTTTTCTTAGATGTCTAGTACATCAATGATATCATCTACACTCAATTAGTGACTTAAAACCTTTGATATATTTTTAACTCATCTCTCTGTATCCCATACTCTTATAATTTCTCACTCATATTCAGTATATCATCAATTTCTTTCAAATTTTATTTCAAAATTCTAAGTATTATTATCTATAATCCTACTTAGAATAGCTTTTCTCCTTTCACCTCTCAAAAATTCTCCTGCTTTAAGGCTGATCTTTTTCCATGAAACATCCTAACTGGTATACAGAAATTTGCTTCCTGATTTTACACCCCCATACCATACATTGTAACCTTACAGTCTATGCTGTATTCTTTTCATATATGTAAGTCTTAGTTCTCTAGTTAAATTGTTAAAGACTGAGACAGAGGCCGCACCACATAGTTTTATTGTCCTCAAGACCAAACATAAGCCTAGGGATATGGCATTGAAGCAAACTATTTTATTTCACAAATTTTATTTGATAAGTTTCCTGAGCCTGAGGACTATATCTTAACCATCTTGATATCCGATCTGGGCTGGAGGCACTTAATATATGCTTCATAAATAAATGCTCAAGAGACACATGAACTGAATTTTAAAGTTAACTATTGGGAGGAAAAAAGAAAATTGAATGGCTAGTGACTAGGCTTCTCAGAACAACTAAAATTCTGTCTTCCCCTTTCCCCCCCCAATAGTATGACCCTTCTTTATACACTCCATCTGGATCTGATTTTTTTTTTTAAGATTTATTTATTTATACAAGAACTGGGGTACAGGCCAGAAGCGCGGGAGGGTGAGAGGATTCACCAGAGACAGAGTGGCGAACAGAACAGGCAGACTGACTGAAATACACTGCTGAGGGGAGCAGGGGTCGAGACAGGAGAGGTCTGCCACGTCTTGTGGGTATATCCCTGGCCGGCCAGGAATTGAACCTGCACTGCAGAGGCTGCGGACAGCTTCATAGCGTTGCGCCCAACCCACTGCACCCCCGGAGAGGCCCTGGATCTCAGATTTTTAAACTGTATCTGAGTACATTTTGGCACTGGTCATATTGACTGGAAGACAATTCAAGGTAGAACTGCTTTTCAATATAATTCTTAAAGAAATTCAGTTCTGAATAATGAGCCCCTATGGGATTGTTAATTTTAGTTCAGGAACCCAAGATAAAATTGTTAACACTTAGATAGCTCTTTCACATATCGGTTAAAGTAATTGCTTATTATTTCCAATATTCCTATTTCTGCAATAAAAACAAAAGTTCTGAACTTCAGAGAAATTAGAACTTAGGGTTGAGCTTTACAGAATGGCAGAAAAACAACTTTCAACCATGTATATTCTATTTCTAATACACAACCTAAGGGCTGTTGTTTTTGTTTTGAGATGAGACTATTCCTAGCATCCTCTGGGCTAAATAATGAGGCTTTGCCCTCTCTCCCTAAAAAACCATTTTGAGCAACTGGAATTGACGTTTACTTCTCTCTCTCATTTATCGTGGTTCTCTGCAATATCCCAGACGTGGGGGGGGGGGGGCGGTTTGGGGTGAGGAAGGGGTAGAAAAAGTGACAGAGTTCTACATGGAATATTTTTATTTTTAGTACTTTATCAAATAAACTGAGTGCAGAGGGGTAAGAAAGGCAGGCTTAGGCAAATAATATATACTTAACATATCTTAAAGCCTTGTATCCAGAGAAGTCACCTAACAAACTTAGTATTCCTATCTTAAAGCTATCAAATGTACTGGGTTATGTAATTTTTTGACTAACAATTTTACAGAAAATATAAAATGAAGGTACCATAAAGCATTATGATGATGATGATGATAATGAGCCTATGTCATTAACAAGCTATGTAAATAAATATATATGTCTTCTAATCCTCAAAATAACTCTATTAGGTGGAGCTCATAATGCTTACTGTACTATTGAGGTAATTCAGAGAGGTAAAAGTCGTCCACATGCAGTGAGGAATGTTTATTTCAATAAGGCCAGACTTTCCTCCATTATACTATGTTACCTATTCCTCCCTGAGCTTGACTCCACATTTGCATAAGAAATTTGCCTGCCAAATAACTTGATAGTGACTTGGATATCAAGCTTCATGCTGTAGATTCCAAGTACCACAATTCACCATTATTTAGGTTCTGACCCCGAGATGTTTCTGCCTTGCCCAGAATAAGCCTGGGTCTTTTCTCTCACTGCCAGTTTAACAAAAGCTGAGTTTTTACTGTTTAAAGAGAAACTGCAGCCTATCAAAGTCTAAGATTCTTAGAGATTCAAGCCCAAGTATTACTTTGTTAAAGTTTTAATTAAAATGTGTACTGATCTTAGTATAGAAGATGAGCATTGTTTTTTAAAATACAACAGAAATTTACATAGCAATATCAAGCATGTCTCTTAAGAAATTTTGCAAAAAAAGAAAACATAAGGAAAAGAAACACACATACGTATCAATCTTACAGAAGAACAGCCCAAAGTTCTGAAAGATCTATCAAAGTACACTTGTATTTATCAAATAGGAAGATTAGGAATAACCTATGACTCAACAAGAAGGAATCAGTCAATTTAAATCTTGTGATACTGTCATAAAATTATAAAGAGTATATTGTGCCTTTCAAAGTATGTCTACCAATACTAGTCAATTTCCAAGATTTTTAAAATGTTAATCAAAATGCTGGCTCCTCATTTCTTTAGACATTAGATTTTTCAATATAAAGAAGAATAAAAAGCTACTTTTAATGATGTTTGCCCAACCCACCACCTACAAGAAAAAGGTATTATCTTGGAATACCATCTCATAGGAGTAACAGCTAGTGTTCTCAAGGTAGCTGCTACTCTGTTAGTGGACTTCCCCTCAAAAGACCAATTTAAGCAGGCATCTTTCTCCTTGGAAAATATTCTCCTTAGTTGATGATTTAAAAAAAATCCACAAATGGCTTTACAAATTCTGATAAAGCAGTTGTCTAGTTTAGATATCACGCTTCACTTTTCCTGGATAGGTTTCCTGGATAGAAAGAAAGTCCTTTATTCCCTCTTAAAAAATACAGAGTGGTGTAGTAGAGTTTGGTTGTGAGACCACACTAAATAGTGCTTTTCCATCATGTTACTTATGGCCCATAGCCAATTTCTGCATGTATCAGAATTAAATCACTCAGCAACTATAAAGCTGTCCCTGTGTGACTTCTTTTATAGAATAAGCCTTTACAACACCCCCTTTCATGGTCTCTCCCTGTGAAAGACTGCTGAATGCTTTTTGAACCAAAGGTCAATGACATAAATGCATTGAAATAAAGAAAGAAAAAGGTGGGGGGAAGGGTCTGTTAACAGACCACTTGTGCTTAACCATAGGTTTGCTTCATATCTGTAGCATAAGGGCACAGAATTGGATTTTGAAAAGAAGCCAGGGAAATCTATACTACTGAAGTCAACTAACAAAGAAATCAAGATGGAATTTATTCATCTGATGTCACTTTTAATAGACATGAGTTAGTTGCTAGTAAAGTATTAATATAGTCTGGAGAGGGAGGAGTACAAAATCATTTATAAAGGAAACACACACATTACGGAACTAAGTTGCACTAAGTGTAACTAAGCATGCACTATACATTTCTCAAACTATCCCAAAGAGAAATCTCAGATTTTCTTATGGTGTCAGTGCTCATAAGTGTGAACAACTATTACTAAACTTGTACACTTTAAAAAATTATCTCTTAAAGTGTAAACATAATTTCTATTTCTGACATGAAGTTATTACTTTTTCAAGAGAAAATTCAAGATACGGTATGTATTTATGTTTTACTAATACTAACTAAAATGTATTTTTAAAGACTCTGTTTAAGATAAGTAGGTAGGAATATTCAGAATTTCCATTATTTACAATCACATTGATTAGGGCGGGAAGGGTGGGACACAGGAAGGGAGGTATCAGGGTCTCTGGAAAATTCATAGTCTGAGGAGACAGACAGAGATTGGTTCATATTCTGATTCTGCTAGTAACCAGCTGGGACCAAGCACTTACTCTTTCTTAGGCTCAGTGTTTCCATTTGTAAAATTAAGACTATTATACCACACTTCGTAGGGTTATCATGGGAATGAAAAGTTGGATATGCAGGGTATTTAGCAAAGTGGCCATCACATAATGAATATCCCAAAATGAAAGAACTATGAAGATGATGACAATGATCTATATCTGGAATTTTTCTGAGAATTGTAAGGAGAGTGGGTTAGAATCTCTAGTAAGCAGAGATATACAAGACTAAATCATTTACTTTTTAAATTATGTCAAC